GAATGGTTCTCATTCTTAATCTTTTATGAGTTAGTCTTTGGAGAATCTAATACCATAGGTCCTTTTTGCCAGAAAGGTGCATATTTGCAAAGACACATAACAATATGTCTAGTGTTTCAGGACATTAGCAGACCTCATGAAACCCATCTGCTGACCATTAAAATCAAAAGAACAAACCAACTAATCTAGAAGCCCAACTAACTCTCCTGAACCTTGAAAAGGAATCCATTCAGTTTTCCCTTATCTCTTATGCTCTGGTTGCAATCACTACTCCTGTATAAATAGTATCTAATTTTTCCTTTGTGGCTAGATATCTGTTCTCTGCAACTTACAAGATTTCCACGATTCTCACATCAATTTACAAAATTTGATGGTAGCCCAAACCAATCAGTTTTCCGTGTTGACCATCATTAAATTTAATGTGGACAAAGAACTATTCTTCTAATTTTTAAAATGACGAGGACTTCCAGGACATCCGAATTAAGTTATAACTTTCAATTATAACTTAAAATATAAATGAAATTGTTTATTGATAAACTGAAAAATCAGGACTTTCCCATTTTATAGGTATCTTAATATTTCAGGAAATATAGAAACAGTTTATATCATTTAGCTGTACAATGAGTTAGAATTAACTAAATGATACTTCCAAAAGAGGTAACTTCTATACAGGGAAAAACCTACTGGGAAATTCTACCTATTCAGGAAATAGTTTCCTATTTCATTTTTAAGCAATGATTTCCAGTAAAAGGAACCATGATGAAGAGTGAAATAAACCTTTTTCCTCTAAACTATGTTTCTTTTTCACCTATTTTGTTGAAAATTTCTGTCAAAAGGAGGGATATATTTCTGATTACACTACTCTCCTAACTTGGTTATTTGTTTTCTTGACTGAGGACTTACATGTGTATATGGAAAGGGTTTGTGTTTCATCAGCACAGACATGTATAACATGTGAATGTTAACGTCACATCTCCCTAAGTGAGGATTATGTAAACGCTCATAAATGAAAGGAGGTGTAATTAGGACTTTCCAAACATAATCACACTGCATATATAAAACAAAAGGAGTGGTGATCTAAAAGGATTAAACTCTGCTAAGCATCTAATACCAAGAAAATGTTAAGTTTTAAAAATCTTACCAGAGATTATTTAGAATAGCTTCTTAAATAATTACAGAGATCAAAATTTTAAATCTTTGATTCTGCTTTGCTTTGGTTTCCTGGCTATTTTTCTCTATTCTATAATTGCCAAAGTTCACAAGCGGCTAATCTACATTTATTGATGAAATATTTTACCATACATTTGCTACACTATTGGGTTACTGACTAACTTGGATCCTGAGAAGACTATATAGATAAGAATTCATGTAAAGCTCTGAGCACAGAGCCTATCACATAGTAAATATTCAATAAATGCTAGCTAGTCTATCAGTCAGGCAGGACAGGCTGCAATAAAAAGCAACTCAACCCAGTAGCTTAAAACAACACAGTTTATTTTTCCTTTACTCTACATACCCACAGCAGGCTGGCAAAGGGAATCTGTTCATCATAGTGAGAGACTCAGGCTCCATCCTGAAACTGTAGGTGGGTGCAAGAGAGTATGACAAGCCTTGCTGCTTTTGCCAGGGAGGAACACCGATCACTGATGCACACATTCATTGGTCAAAGCAAATCACACAGGTATGGATACCACAAAAATGAACACCAAATATGGGTAAAAAATAACAGAACTGGCTTCAGCTAGTATTACTATGATGACAATGATGATGATAATATTTGTTATTATTAGTAGTAGTAGTAACAGTAGTAGTTAACTTCTTGCATTCTAAATCTGACTTCCATTCCAAAAGGCAGTTGAAAAATAAACAAAGACCAATTAAATCTTGTAGTTTCTTTTGCTTGACTTCTCTGAAAATTATTTTTTTTGTCAGTGCTCACTTTTCTTCATTCTCCCTGTTGCACCTAAGGAATCCTACAAGGGAAGCCTGTGTCTAAATGAAAAGATCAAAGAACTAAAGATAATCTGGTCAAATGGAAAGGGCATATACTGTGTTTCTCTTTATATATATTTTTAACATTAACATATTTCTTCCCAAGCAATATGTTACATACTGAATTTGTTTGCTACCTTGGCCTTTCATTCATTTCTGATTACTGTTGTCTAAAAGAGTGTTCTTTTGACAAAATCAACAACAACTCATAATAAAAGTTTCAGCAAACTAGGAACAGAGGTGAGTATCAAATTGATAAAGAACATCTGCACAAAACTTAACAGTTAACATGGTACTTAATGGTAAGAAATTAAGGGCTTTCCCACTGAGACTGGGAACAAGGCAGGATGTTCTCTCACCCTTGCTATTCAGGATCATACTGGAAGACCTAGACCTAGCCGAAGCAGTAAGACAAGAGAAGGAAATGAAAGGATATACAGACTGAGAAGTAAGAAAGGAAACTGTCTTCCTATGCAGATGATTATCTCCATAGAAAATCTTAAAGAATTGATGAAAAAGCCCTAAAACTATTAAGTGATTATAGCAAGGCTGCAGGATACAAGTTAGTCTACATAGTCAATTGCTCTCCTATACATACCAGCAGTTAATACACACAATCCATGAATCATGTCTCTAGGTATTTACCTAAATGAGTTGAAACCTTCTATATAAACAAAAATTTGCACATGAATGTTTATAGAAGCTTTACTCATAATAGCCATAACTTGGAAACAAACATGATATCCTTCAATAAGTGAATAAACAAACTACGGTGGTACCTCCAGAAAATGAAATTATTATTCAGCAATAAAAAGAAATGAGGTATCAAGCCATGAAAAGATATAGAAGAACTTTATATGCATATTATTAAGTGAAAGAAGACTGGCCAAAAAAGATACATACTGTAAAATTCCAACTATATTCTGGAAAATATTCTGGAAAAGCAAATATTTAATGAGATAGTAAAAGGATCAGTGTTTGTTGCTAAGGGTTTGTGGGTTGGCGGGGAGGAGGGTAAGAATAAATAGGTGGAGCACAGGGCACTTACAGGGCAGTGAAACTATTTTGTGTGATACTGCAGTGGAGGATATATAACATTACACATTTGTCAAAACCAACTGTTCTATTATTAACAGTGAACACTAATGTAAACTAAACAATGGGCTCTAGTTAATAATGTATCAGTATTTGTTCCTCAACACTAAGGCAGTGTTTGTTCCACAACACTAAGGCAAAATGTTAACAGTAGGAGAAACTATCATTATGTTGTACACCTGTATAACAATATAAGTGTTATATGCCCATATACCTCAATTAGAACAAAACAAAACAAGAAAAAAGGGGAAACTGTGTGGGTATATGTCTGTGTCTGTTCCTTTCCATCCAACCACGGGCACCAGCAAACCACTAGAATCAGGTGAAGATCTCATCTACCTTGCAACGTAATTACAATTACTATTTAAATTTCTCTTTTCAGATACATACTGAACGAACAAGTGAACACACACTGTTTTCTATTCAGTTAAGAGTACCAACATCTGCTCACTCAAGTGAAAAACCAACAATTATCTTTGGCACCTTCTTCTTCCATACTAAACAATGACATCTTTTTGATTGTACCAATAAAATTCTCTAAGATTTGTCCTTTCTCATTTCAATGGCACTACCACTCCAACCATTCTTTTGAAATTTAAAGATTTATACCATCTTTTTTCTTCATTCTGGGTGACTTCTCTTTGCAAATTATTTTTTGTAAATACCCCTTCTTCTCCATATTTCCTTCCTCCTCCATGGAAGCCTGTCTCTTTTGGAAGGATTATCATTAACAGCCTACCTGCTCTCTCCATCTGCAATCTATCTCCCACAGTATAGCCAGAATTATATACACATAAAATGCAGACCTGGTTACTTAATTTTAGGGCATTTGAAGTAATTCTAAATGCTACTCACAAACAAACAATCAAATTTACCTAATGCTGAAAAATGTGTCCTAATCCACCCTGGACCCCAGTTTATTATTGGCAGTGATAACACTACAAGTTTTCAATATCTTACTCAGAAACAGGAATAGAGTGAAATAAAGGAGGAATCCAGGGCACAAAATTTAATGAGACACCCACTCATCAATCCCACACTTACATGGACCCTGAAAGAGCCTATTTAAATTCTGTGCCCTGGATGTCTTGCTCATTACCCTCTAGTCCTAGCTCTGCTATTATTTCAGGATATTTGTCAATGTTTGGAGGTAAGATAAAACCTAAATTTTATCTAATTTTAACTAAGCAAAAATACTTTTTAGGAGGTGTACATTTTATATTTTGGTTTAAAAGGCTTTAAGAAAGACTTAGTTCCATATGTATAATACTTCATCAAATACATTCAATAAAAATAACACATAAATATACATGGTGTATGAGGATGTGAAAGGAGACAATGTTTCTCGTTTGCTGATTAACAGAGAAAGTAAACTGAACAAATCAATTCTAAGCCTTACATGGAATTTGTAAATTTAAGTAACTTCAACTATTAAAATGACAATTGCATAAGCAAGAGAACAATTATTCCAAAATCTGGAGGAAAAAAACATTTCCTAGATGAATTAACGTAAGTAAACAATCTCATTTGCCCAAAGGTTTTTCTCTCCCCTCTCTGTTTAAATCGTCAACCCAAAAGAAAAAGCAAAATAGATTTCTAAATCAATCTTAAAACACTGATTTGAGGATCAGAAAGCTTATAAAACACAAAGATAATGAATTAAAAATCTTAGAATTTTAACTTCTGAAGTAAAAGCATCAATTAAAATATAGTCTCTTTCCAAGTAATGACTCTATAGCTTCTTACTACGCTGACAGACAATGACTCCAGTGGGGTAGGGTCGGGGGACTTGATAATATGAGTGAATGTTGAAATCACAATGTTGCTCAAGTGAAATCTTCATAAGATTGTATATCAATGATACCTTAATTAAAAAGAAAGTCTCGATCTTGCTCATTCAAAATTATTCTTACCAGATAAAGCAGAAAGGTGTGCAGCCCTGTTCCAAGTCCAACAGAAGACAAAATCCCTAAGCCTATCCAGTAGGCATACAAAAGAATCTGTTTCTCTATACGTTGCACATACTGAAAAACAAAAGGGATGAGGTTAAAAAAAAAACAAAAGCAGAATTCTTAAAAATAACTGTGGTATTTATCAACTACAATCAAAACAAACCAAACCGACTAAAATAAATTTCTAATAGGAAGAAAGTATTAAGATTAAAAAAAACCCTTCAAGAAGTCTAATTCCTGTATTATGTGATAGCAGAAATAGCAAAAAATTCATTAACTTGGAATAAAACTCTTGTTTCTAAACCTTTAAGGTCCTACTAGTGTGATGATATTTATAGGAGAAATGCAAACTACTAGTAAGATAACTATGAGAACAAAAATTTTAAGATATTTAAAAGTTAAAAAAATTTAAGAAAGCATGGTAATATACACTGGATGGTTAGGAGGGGCAGTTATTTATATAATATTTGTGAATAGGATACATTTTTGTTCATTGAAGTAAAGAACAGGAATAAGATTATTTTTGCATATTTAAGACTAAGATGCTTTTCTTACAAGAGCAAACTGAAGTCCCCTGGGATGTGTATTTGTTGGAAGAATTCCAGATTTTAAATTCTAGACTCTCATATTGGCAAGTAAATTCATCTAAGCAGTTCCCTGCAAACTCTTGATAGTACACACAGATTTCTTTAAAATATTTAAAATAAATACATTTAAAACTATAAAAACTTCTCTGACATTAGAGGTAAACTGCTTTAAAATATGAAATACCATTTTAGAACAATTTCCTATTAGAATACATTATTAATGTTTTGCTATTTTGACAAAAGTCATTAACAAAATGTCCTATTTTCCCTCCAGTTACGTTGTAGTTATACCCTATATGCAAATGAACTTCTCTTATCATATATATAAAAGCCTAGCCTTCAATCTAGGAAGAATATGCCTGTTTAGATGGATCACAGGAGTATGTTATAGAAAATATGAAAACTTTCATAGTGATTAAAAGATTCATGCTGCTTTCACTAAACACAGTCAGGGAAGTTTTTTTGAAAAAGGAATGATATAGACTAAATATAAGTGCAGAGCTGCTATGAACTACCAGAAGAGTATTTTTAATATTTGGCCTTGAGAGACATTAAGATACCAGTTAAGAAATAAATTAAAAAAACAAAACCAAGTCTAAAAATGTTGAGGGTAGAAATTCATTGAAACCCACAATTTTGAAACTGTTTGGGATTAGAGAAGGTACAAAAATAGAAAGAGTTCCTAAACCTCTTACCTGTTGATGTGCTCCTTCAACATAATACGTAGCTATAAGCACAGCAAGCAGCAGTAAAAAAGACAGCACAATGCTTTGACGATGCCATAATCTTAAAAACAAACAAATAAAAATTTTCACAGTTTCATTTCCAGGATTCATTACTCTCAGAACAATTTCTTGAAGCAGTTAGGTTATTCAGTTCAGCTATAGCATTAGTTCTTCACAGCTGAGCTCTTTTGTCCTTAAACACCATGGTCTCTTTGGATGCAGGAGGGGGTTAAGGGAAGATATATGGGTATAAAACCCAATTTCTTATACTAATCCCTATCATAGCCTTCCCTTACCCAAGGACTTATCATGTTTACACCTTAACTTCTAATTGGGAGAGGCATTATAATATAATGGAAAAGAGCATTGGCCTTCAAATCAGAGGAGGACTTGGGTCAGAGTCCCTTAGTGCTGCACTTTTATGAGTAAGACACTTAACCAATCTGATTCTGATTCCTGTTTTAAAAATCAGAATAATTATATACCTGTTTTACCTTCTTCATGGAGTTGTTTTAAGGATCAAATGAACTGAAATCTGTTACAAAATGTTTTATAAACTGTACGTACAATAAAAATGTAAGATACTATTACAGATAAGAACTTGGAAAGTCAAGCTGAAAATGATAGGCATGTAAAAGTTCAACTTGCTCTTTATAGTATCTGAAACAGGTTTAGAAGTATTAAATTTAAAGAGAGCAAGCACAGTTCCATGGCAGAGTTCCTTTTTCACTGGTTCAAACTATGAGTAAAAGTGCCACGTATCCTGAACCTTGTTCTACTAAACAATCTTTATCTGATGTACACAGGCCTTATTTCTCCTGAAGGTAAAGCCAGAAGAAAAAAATCTCACTTTTAATGTTCTCCTTGGCATAAAAGATTCAACAAGAGACAGTGGTCAGTTGTAATTATTCAATGAGCAAATAGCAATATGTTCCCCTAATTTTTCTTCAAACTATTTAAAGGAAAACAAATATCTTCCTGTAATACTCTATCTTTACTTGATCATTTTGATTGAGTAGGTAGCAGGGAGTATGAGATTACTAAACACTTCTAAAATCAGTAAGTAAGGTTTATATAAAAGGTAGTAGAAGACTATTTACTTTGAGGTCCAATCCTTCAAGATTACTAGGATTTCCAGAGAAAAATACTGCAAGGTAATGAGTGGCTGTCTCCATAGTACAATATTCTGTCTTTCTTCCCGATCCCTCCTCTTCTTTTCATTCACTGAAGAGGGGTCTGAAAAATAGTGCAGAAATTAAAACAGAATGCTCAGTTTCCCAATCATTTTCAAAATTCACCTAGTTCCCATCCCACATCTGAAAGGCTGCATATGAACTTAAAAACATGTGGTTTACATTGTGACAAGTCTGGGCTAAGTGCTTCTGATCTATTCTTAACATTGTTTTTGCAATTATTTCATTGTCAGTGTTGTCGGGTAGCTGAGTCTGGGGAGGTCTCTCCCTGCACATGAGGTGAAACCTCAATGCCTGGCGGGGGAGGGTTGTTGATTCTGAACGAGAAAGAATTCTCGTGCAGGTCAGATGAGTGTAGGTAAGGAAGGAATTCATTAAAGTGAGAGTAGTAGTGAATGGCAGCTGCCTTGCAGGCAGCAGAGAACAAGAACAGAGGGAGGGAAGGGAAGCTTGTTGAACTCTTTCTCAGCATAGGACAAATCCCTTGCCAACTCCTGAAGCCAGGGTCACCTGGGTCCAGTATCCACTTGAATCTGCATGGTGTGGGGACTAAGCCCCTACCACCCCAGGATTTGAGGGGAGCCACAGAGCACTGGATGGAGTAGACTATGTCCTGAGAACTTCACAAAAGCATAGAAAGGAGATTTTCAGGTAGGTTACTACAGAGCATGATCATATAGCTACAGTCCTGTCTCAGCAGTCCCTCCCTACTTGTCTGGAGTAGAACAGAAAGAGAGAAGACTAGCGTTTAAGTCTAGAAAATTGAATGAAACAGCAAAGTAACACTTACTACTACTGGAAGAGTGCACAGACAAAATGCAGTAAGTTGAGCAGTGAGAAGTCTTTACTTAAGGCAAAAAGTACACACTCGAAGAAAGGGAAGTGCAGGCAACCTCAAAGAGGAGGCATGCTTAAGGGCTTAGGATTCTGTCTTAAAGCTTTCAAGAATAGGGCAAAGGGCAGGGTGGGGGTGGCATAGGCTTGACATGTGGTCTCATAATGTATCTCTCCAGTGGAAGACATTATGTCACCATCCACAAATCAGTCCTCTAGATATTCTGTAAGATAAACTTAACACAAGGAATTTACTGATCCTGTTCTTCTCTAAAATACTGTTTATCCTCAAGCACTGGAAGCATAACATTTAGGACTGCTAGCCCTGCCTTAAGACAGGTTGTTGGCTGATTACCAAAGACTATGTTAGGAATCTTATCTCCTCACTCCCTGGTTATTAAAATGGAATCTTAGCCTTAAGACGGAGTCTCTTCTGTTCTTACTATACTGTTTATATCTTGGCATTTTTCATCACAGGCAAGAAAAGTTAATCACGATGTTTGTTCCATGTCCCTGCCCTAACTCATCAGGACACAAGTTTTTCTTCTTGTACATTACTGGAACACTAAATTAGGATTAGGCTACTTTCTATCAAGGGCAATGTAGCATCACATTGTAGAGCAAAGGGGGTTTAGAGCTGTAAACATGAAAGCAAACAACATAGTTCCAAATCCTGGGTGTTACCTAACTAGCCATGTAACCTTGGGCAAGTCAGTTGGTTAACCTTTCTATGCTTCAGTTTTCTCTCCTCTAAAATGAAGATAAAATCTTACTTACTTTTTAGGGTCACTGAAAAGATTAAATGAGTGTATATAGATATATATATATATACCTCAGAAGAGTTTGAAACTAAGTAAGTACACAATAAAGGTTATTACTGGTATCATCTACTGAAATCACAAATACATATACCCTGTAACCCAATAACTCCATTTCTAAAAATGGTTAGGTATAAAGTAAAATGACTTTGTACACATTTCTTCAATGCAGCATGATTTGTCCTAGCAAAAGATTTATAAACAACTTAAATGTTAGCAACAGAGGACAGAGGAGTGCTGAAAGTATGGTACATTCATACAGTGGAATACCAAACAGTCATAATAAAGAATAAGTTCTTCATGTACAATTACAGCACAATCTCTAGGAAATATAAGTTAAAAAAAAAAGTTTTGGAAGAGTAAAATGTGTCAGAGTAGTATTAATTTTTAAATTCCACTAGGGGAAGAATATATAAATGTATGTATTTGTTGAAAGACAGGGAAAGAAAAATAACATGCAAAAGCTTCTAATAGGAAGAGGCTATGACATATGCAATGCCTATCTCTGAATCCTAGAATTCTTAGTGAAACAATGCAAAATTTATCAACAAAGTAACCCAAGCTGATAATTGCTACAAAATGGGTTCTGCAAGGCAATGAAGTGATCAAAAGAAATGCTAACTACTATTTCAGATAGCCTGCACCCCCAACAGAAGAGAATTTCTATGATATTATGCTGTAGAATTTTTCCAAAGTATGTGAGATGCCAAACAATGTAGAAGTTAAAAAGAAAACATTACAATTAACAAAAGAAAACCCTTCATTTTCCTTTAAACACATACAGGAAAGATACTACTTAAATCATCAATATAAATAAAGCTCTAATTTTTAGGGCGAATGTATGAATAAGAGCCAAATATACTGAAATTTACCACAAATTCCTAATCTGGTTAAAATATCAATCTATCTGTCTCAAGTGAAGAAAATAAATGCACAATAATCACATTCTGACTTTTTTGATAATTGTATATTAGGATTAGCATAATAAGTAAATTTATAATCTACTTCTCAAGTTATAAAATAGCATGATAAAATCTAGTACCAAACAAAGCCAAATAAATACTTACCCTACCATAACACAAACAAATAATAATCTTGTATCTGCTAATATGACAGTGGCCAGGTTGTCTCTGATTTCACTGTGAAAAATCACCTTATAGACCATGGGCCATAATTTACTTGAAATGTAAACAAAAAATAATTACAGTAGTCCCCCTTATTTGTAAGGGATTTGTTCCAAGACCCCTGGTGAATGCATGAAATCACAAACAGTACCAAACCCTATATGTGCTTGTTGAAAGACAGGGAAAGAAAAATAATATGCAAAAACTATGTTTGTCTTACATATACATACCCTATGACAAAGTTTGGCACAGTAAGAGATTAACATCAATGACTAATAAAAATAATAATATACTGTAATAAAAGTTATGCGAATGTGACCTCCCTCTCTCAAGATATCTTACTGTACTGTACTCACCCTTCCTGTGAGATGATAAAATGCATATGTGATGAAGTGAAATGAATGATCTAGGCATTGTGACAGAATTAGGCTATACTGACCTTCTGACCAGAGGGACTAATGTAATCATATCTAAGATATATAAGAAGCTTATGCACTTATGTAAGATACTATTATATTAACAAAAGATAATTAGATATACTTCTATTTTATTCCAATGAACAGGATAGTATTTAAATCCATAGATCATCTTCCCCCAAACAACCATACTTTACCTGTGAAGCTTCCATTATATTGTTCCTTGTTCATTGCTACACGTCTCTGGTCACAATTTTTTCCATTCTCTGCCATTTCATAGATCAATAACTCTTGAGGAACTAATAAAGCAAAATAAAATCCAGTGATATGTTATATACTTCTGCTTTGCATCTATGATTAAATAAAGCTGAGAAACAACATACTTATATGCTATCTGAATAGTGCACTATGCTTTTCTTTTATAATCAAGACCTGAATAATTTGCTTAGAAACTCAAATAGAAGTAGTAGAAATACAAAAGCCATGTAATTGAAATCATTTTCCAGTTATTCCAGTGATTTTTCCAGATTAAAATTTGGAGGAAGTTTGTTCACAGAAGGATACAAAATACTAGCACCTTCAAATATTGATAGGCTACAAGGTCTAGTCTTTCTAATTCATAATTTAATATGACATACACTATCTATTCAAATTTTACCAATCTTTCAAAGTCTTTTCAGCATTTTAGAAAAAAACTGGATATTTCCAAATGTCAAAAATGGCACACATTCCAAAATCAATTTTATTTAGGAAATAATTCTACTGAAAAAAAATGGCATAGGCATATTAGATAAAATTTTTTGAAATGTTTAAGATATGTTAAATGTACTCTTTATATCATGCTTTGTATTACAGATACAGGTATAAATTCTTACTTTAAATCTCTGTATTGCAACATATGAATTGTGTTGACATAATTATTTCACACAAAAACACCTGATTACCTATGGCTGTATAATTCTTTTAGGTGTTAGTAAAGCATATCTTTCTACTAAAAAAACCACATCACTTCAGTAAAGTCCAAAATGCTGAGTCCTTAATACACTGCATGTTTCAGGAATCCTGCTAGAACAGTATCCAGCAGATGAGATTATGACATGGTCATGGGTTCAGCCTTCCTATACTTTGTTAGCTGGAGCTATTTTATTCCTTGACTACAAGTTTAACTGTAACCATTCACAAAATTTATGCCTCATACATCTTACTACACTGATGGACAGTGACTGCAATGGAGTATGGGGGGGACTCAATAATGTGGGTGAATGTAGTAACTACATTGTTTTTCATGTGAAGCCTTCATAAGCGTGTACATCAATAATACCTTAATAAAAAAAAACTTATGCCTCATACAGGAAAATAAGTGAAAGACTATATAAAAACACTGAACAAAGAGCATACATTCATCACTCCCACAGAAAGATCTCTTCTTTTAGACACAATCTATTTGTAGACACCTTTGTTTTTTGTTGCCTTCACATCTCAATAAGCAGATAAACGTATCAAGAAATAAAGTATAGGTTTCCATTAGCATAGATGGGTAGCCTGGAATAGATTTTTTAAGATTTAAAGTCTGAAAATCTAGACTTGCATTCCAGATTTGCCACTAACTAGTTGTGTGATCTTAAGCAAGTCTCATTTTTTTCCTAGATCTTGATTTTTGTGGATATATAAAATGAAAACAAAAACTATCACTTTCACAGGATTGATGAGGATGAAAGAGAGAGAGAGAGAGAGTGTGTGTGTGTGTGTGTGTGTGTGTGTATGTTTGGGCACACACATGTGTGTAACTATAAATGGCAACACATCAAAAGGGTAGGAAGTATATGAAACAGTAAACTTAGAAACTGCCTATATTACAGAAAGTACTTCATAGCACATGCCTACTGCTACTGTATCAGTGATGTCAGTGTCTTTCATTCAATACCCATTAAAAAAGATCTGAGATCTGTAATGGGCATTAAAGATAAAAAGATGAATAAGACCTTCATGAGGGTCCATCTGGTAGGCAAGCCAGATGAGCACAAGACTTCAATTATAATACAATGAATAGATATACAGTATGTAACTTAGTGGGAAGAAAACAGGTTTTAGAGTCTAACAGAACTGGGTTTAAACCCAAACTTCACAAGTATCAACTCTGTGAGCTTGGGCAAGTTTCTAAATCTCTTTAAACATCAGTTTCCTAAATTTGTAAAACAGATAACATGTATTATAGGGTTACCATGAGGATTAAACAAGGTAATGTACATAAAATACTAATAAACAGTCTCACCTTTTGTATGAATTGAACATACACTAGTTATGATGATGCAAGGAGAAAGTAAGTATGGGAGAAAGAATGGGAGCTCAGAGGACAACACATTCATAAGAGTTCATGGAAGCTGAAAATTTGAATCTGCAAACTTAAATCATGCTTATATAAAGATATTTTCAAAAGACAATACAGCCCAAGCAACTATAAATAAAGATGAAGTTATTTTGCAAAAATCTATGAAGCCAGAATATCATAATAGGTTCACAAAATCATACTTTATGGGCTTTATTAATTGAGAAGTTTGAAATGGACCATATAATACAGGAGTTAAACATTCTCCATCTTATAATCATTCAGCTTGAACCACACTTAAATTCTACAAATACCTAAAACTGCTCAATTTCAGCTAAATTCTATAAGCAATTTGTTTTCCCACTAAGTCACCTACCTTACAATAAATAAAATTTAATTAATTGTGGCAAAAAGATGAACACGGCGTAAGAGAGCTTGTGTGTTATGAAGAATACATTCTAAAACCTTTCCCCCTAAAGTACTGTGATAATTTAGCTCATTTTTCCAGTTTTATTCTTTCCCACAGTATCATCTTTAAGAGAGAAAAAAAATTTTAACCAAAACAACTTGGGGCTGTTTGAGCTCTTACTTTTAACAATGGTATTACACAATTATCTGAAGATGTTTTTAGAGAAACTGCAATGGGAATTTTCATTTGAGCAAATAATGTGTTCTTACACAACATGCTAAAAAAGAAAATAGCTTCCTGACATTTCCTACTTCAAAAATTCTCTAGAAAACAAAATAGTCTGGAATTCTGTTTTTTAAGAATTCACCTAGAAAACTAAGTTATTTTTTTTAATCAGTCTATTTCTTTACAAACAAAATTAATTCAGTTTTAAAAGCAACTTTTGAAAAATATTTGCCATTTCCCAAAGAACTATAATATAAAGTCAAACATGCAAAGAGCAACTTGTGTTCTAGTTAAGCTTATAAAAGCATCCAAACCTTTTTGCATTTTAACCTATTTCAAAAATATCTTACAGTATTCCTTGTCGTCCTCAATCACACACACACTTTGCAAATTGCAGTGCCCTTGGGAGAACCTGCATTCTTACTGTCTGTCTGATCTGTTGAATGTAGCTGGAGAAAATTCACACAACTGCATAGCCACTTTAAATTCACTTGTTCATTCAACAGATATTTATCAAGTACCCATTACATGATAGTTATTATTTGAGATGCCAAATCTCAAACCTCCAATTGAAGCTCGTTCCTATTAATAAACTTTTTCTCACTTTCAAAATTATTTCATTTCTTGTTCTCTCTCCCCCAGACTTTTTCCTTTCTTACTCTCAGGAATTGACTTTTTATTTTTTAATCAAAGAAACAGAGAGGGAATTCCCCAATCTTTCTACCACTAGATCTATTAAATTATACCTTCAGACATGTTGGCATTCTTCCTCTCTTTACAACTGGGGCAGTGTCCTCTACCAGCAATGGCTATCACGTCAATGCACATTCTGTATACTGTTCTCACTCACCTTCCCAGGGACTTTGCTCCTTTGGCTATCTCTCTGTGTGTCACTGATCTTCTTTTATTGGATCAATAAGATTCCAATAATCATCAATGATTCTTACTGGATTATTCTCATCAGCAAATAAGCATTATTCAGCATTTACCATTTCTCAGTCCTTCTTTATAGACAGATTTCTTGGAAGAATTGCCTGCATATACACAGCCTTCACTTCCTCAACACCAAAGCTCTGACCAATCCATTGCAGTATGACTTCTGTCCTGACAAATCAAAAGAAATTGCTTCTTCTGTCAAGGTCACCAATAACCTCCATGTTGCCAAATCCAGTGGATACATCTTAATGAACCTCTTACCTTCATTGACACAAGTAACCACTCCCTCTTTCTTAAAAAACTCTCTCCCAGTTTTTTTCCTATTTCTCTTACTACTCCACTGACAGCTCCCCCTGCTTTACTTCCTGGAGTTATTCAAAGCCTGGTCCTTGGCTCCTTTTTTGTGTTCGCTCTACACTCTCTCCCTAACGATGTCATCTATTCTACAGCCTTTACATATCCTCTACAATCTCCTCTCTTTCAAAAGTGCAATGATGTTCAATGTGACAATGGTATGAACAGTCTGTAAAAATAAACACAATCATAGAATAGACCTTAGAAAGCATTCAAGCCTATCCTTCCCCTACAATTCACAGATAAAGAAACTGAGTCTCAGAAGTAAAACGACTTGTACAATCACAGAAGAAGTTAGTGGCAAACTTGGAGGTAGGATGTAGATCCAGGGAGTACACTGACCTTTTGGTAAAATACCCTCACTCCCAAAATTTAAGATGATTTTTTTGCCCCCCCCCCCATATTATACATGCTAATCGTAATGCCCCCTCCCCCGCCCTTATTCATCCCTTCCCACCCATCCTCACCAGTCCCTTTCCCTTTGGTAACTGTTAGTCCATTCTTGGGTTCTATGAGTCTGCTGCTGTTTTGTTCTTCAGTTTTTTTCTTTGTTCTTATACTCCACATATGAGTGAAATCATTTGGTACTTGTCCTTCTCCACCTGGCTTATTTCACTGAGCATAATGCCCTCTAGCTCCATCCATGTTGTTGCAAATGATAGGATTTGTTTTCTTCTTATGGCTGAATAATATTTCATTGTGTATATGTACCACATCTTTTTATCCATTCATCTACTGATGGACATTTGGGTTGCTTCCATATCTTGGCTATTGTAAATAGTGCTGTGATAAACATAAGGGTGCATCTGTCATTTTCAAACTGGAGTGCTACATTCTTAGGGTAAATTCCTAGAAGTGGAATTCCTGGGTCAAATGGTATTTCTATTTTGAGCTTTTTGAGGAACCTCCATACTGCTTTCCACAATGATTGAACTAATTTACATTCCCACCAGCATTGTAGGAGGGTTCCCATTTCTCCACAACCTCACCAACATTTGTTGTTGTTTGTCTTTTGGATGGTGGTGATCCTTACTGGTGTGAGGTGATAC